AATCCTTGCCATGCTCTCCATCAGACTTATTACTTTAATTTACTCGCTACTCCTAGAAAGGGTTTTAAGTTCTGTAAGAACAACTGAAAGAACAAATTTCCGAAACAGAATGTTCAGAGAAATAAAAAGTTAATATTATTCTTTTTTTATTATTATTAAGCACAGCGTGACATACATGTATCGTGGCAAGAAATGTTACATTTCCGAAGAACTCAAACTTTATTAGCCAACTAACTGTTCTTGCGTAACGCTTCAGCACGAACGCCTTCTTGGAGCGGAAACGAAAATACCTTTACAGTCAAACGAGAAACAAATTAACACAGGGTCTCTCTTATCAACATAATCTGGTGCTACTTGAATTGATCTACCAACCGAAAGCGGAAAACATCGACAAAAGTAATATATGCACGATACTGCAAGACACGCTTCTGCGCTGATGTCTTGATGATGAATTTTAAAATAACAGTAGTAGCAGCTTTAACGATAAAATTGTGCCGTCTTCATCTTAATTTAAAGTCTAAGATTGTTGAATGCTAAGCTGGAGCTACGAAAACATAAACTTGCAATATGTACTTGATTGCGAGTTAACTAAGACAAGTTATATTTCAACTACCGCCAGCATATTTACTATTCCTTAAGTTTAAACTTTAAAGGAATCTGTTTCCAGGAAATCTATAGACTAGTGGAGTCTAAAGATTATAATCCAAACTCAACAGAGGTAGTAACACCTCTCTTACCTGTAAGAGGAATGAAAATAAGAGCAACTGCCAGGAACCAGACATTAGTTACAGTAACTTCCGCCATGATTCATTCGTCCGATAATTTCTTTACAAACTGTGCTGGAAGTTGTTAAAACAATAATCCCTGACTCGTTCCCAGTCGTCTTCATACAGGAGAGATGCAGCGCAGGGAGAGATGGGTACCGATAAAGGGAGCGCAAGGTGAGATGGGAAGGGAGAAAACGAAGAAGGAAGACGACTGGGAAATCCTGTGTCGCAAAGTTGTTCCACGAGTCGAAAAGTTGTGCGAGACCGTTTCAGCAACGATTTCCGCCATAAATTGATTTGCTGTGTTTGACTTGTTATTCGGATGTTTTTCTTTTATCTGTTTGGCAACGGCTAGTGTTTTATCGTGATTTGGGATTTCATCCAAGATGGCGTCCAGTGGAGGTGACGATTCCACTTGTGAAGATGTGAACTTGAAAGAGCTCAACGAGTCCATCCACTAACTTAGTATTCATGGTAAGTTATGAAATGGCAAGAAGTGAATTTTGGTGTACATAAAGATTAAAATACAGTTCTCTCAAAGCAGACATTGAATCAAGATTGTATTAGGTTTTCGCAGAAGGTTCATTTTTCTCAGATGATGATGCTGATCGTAATATACCCAGAACAAGAACTCCAGTCAAACCACGAAGAATACTTGCCAGTCAGTTCGATCACCCAAGTAATGAAGACGGTGTCACGGGAAGGTGAAAAAAATCGCAGAAGAGGAACAAAACACGATTGATAATGGCAATGAGCTATTTTATGTTTTATAAATTATGATATTAGCTTCATGTACATTACCACATTGTATCTGTTTGGACGGGACTTGAAAGGTCGATGGGGTTGGATTGTTTAATTGTGAGAATTACTTTTTTGAATCGTAAATATATATTGAGTTCAATTAATTCCTGGAACTAGATCATCAGGAAATTTATCTTTTAGTTTACTTTTTCTGTTGAAAA